TTAAAAATAGTTTATTGATTACCCTAGATCTTTGAATGCAACTGGGGAATAGGAGACTATGTATCTGGCAAATACCAGTCTGAAAAATTCTAGGAGGCCAATAGTTATTTGATGTCTGTACAAGCAATTGGAATATGAGCCTTATTTGGGGATTTTAAATAGGATAAGCCCTAGTTTACTTTAATACTTAATATAAAAAATAATAGTGTTCATTTAGTTTGCACACAAAGGCTTTTATTTGATTTTAGGATTTCACTAGTGGAATAGAATAGTCAAGGAAGAAATATTAATAATTCCATGTAGGTCTTTTTAATGGCACAGAAGCTGCATATAAACCATATATTAAAATTTCAATAAATTATAATTACTGAGAATGAGAAACGTAAGTTACTGGTAGTTTTTCATCCAAAAGCTAGGAATGTACAGTTGACCCTTGGATCAAGCAGGAGTTAGAGGAATCACTTTCCCTTGCAGTCAAAAATCTGTATGTAACTTTGACTCCCTCAAAACTTAACTATTAATAGCCTTCATTTATCAGAAGCCATACCAATAAAATTAACCATTGATTAACATGTAAACATGTAAATATCTACTTAATTTTTATACCTCTGGATGACACAATCTGTGAGTTTTATTCAAATTATTGAAAATCTCAAAAAAAACCCTTCAATATATTTATCAAAAGAATTCCGCTGATAAGTGACCTGAACAGTTCAATCCCATGTTTTTCAGGGATCAATTGTATAATATTATGAACAAGTTTTATACATGAAATAAACTCTATCGTCAGTAAACTTAAACTGGAAATAGTAAATGTATCATTTCCACTACTTTTAACAAACATTTATAAACATCATCTACTTATGTTTGCTTATTTTAATATTGGTGAGAATTCTAAACGCAAACAGAGTAACCCTAATTGTGATTTTTGATAACAAGGTAGTCTATTTGCTTCTCCATTTGATAGTAATTCAGAAACAATAAGAATTGCTTTGTTAAACACTGACATTTTTTATTGGCTATTTACAACTCAGTAGTGAAATTATGTGATTTTACACTAGACACTGTGTTCTTAATTATTCCAAAACATCATTCACATTATGTAAGAAAACAAAAGATTAGACAGTCTTCATAAGACTTCAGAAAAAACTTCAGTCTTCAGTAAGCCACCAGGAAAAAAATAGAATCTAAGAATCTCAACTAAAAATAATGCAATTTTGATCCCATACTCAGCAAAATAAATTATTAAGCCATTTGCTCACTTCTCATATAGTTGCTGATAAATAAATTGTTAGTAAAAATTGAGTTTTTATCAAGTTCAAAGTGTCATACAGATTGCTTTACACAAGTGGGGAACCTATACTATTAAAAATAAAAATTAATGTCTTCTATTTCTTTTTTAGGGTTTCATAATTCTCTTTGTAAAGACCCCTCACCTCTTTAGTTAGGTATATTCCTGAGTATTTCATTTTCTTTGAAGCTACTGTGAAGGGAACTGTATCCTTGATTTACTTCTCAACTTGGGTGTTGTTAGTGTAGACAAAGGCTACTGATTTGTGGACACTGATCTTATACCCTGAGACACTGCTGTATTTCCTGATCACTTCCAGGAATTTCGTGGCTGAGTCTCTGGGTACATCTTTTGTATTAACCTGGATAGAGTTGGAACAAATTCTTCTTATTAAAGTATCACAAGAATAGAGAAGCAAGAATCCCATGTACTCAATACTAATATGAAGCGAGCAGATAATCTAATACACATCCACATAAGAGAAAAACTCAAATAAGTTCACGGTTGGGGGCAGAGGAACAAGGATTAAGGAGAGGGGAGTTGGGCGATGGAGGTGCTCTCACGTAGGGGGCACACTGCCATGTTGTAGGATCCATAGCACACCTCTTGGGTATGGGTCATAATTATAAGGGCCTATAATTTACCTAACAAATGCAAACAGTGTAACCTAATTCTTTGTACCCTCAATTAAACTGAAACAATAAAAATATTAAAGGAATTTAGAATTTTTTAATCTTAATTTATTAGGTAGGGGATGACATCTACTTTAATACCCAAGAAAGCTTCAATAATACAGTAAATTTTGGCCGCCTGAATGACATTTCTGTGACTGACTTCTGTATTTGGAAATAGCTTCCATTCTCCAAAATAGTCACAGTAGATTATAAGATGATGTTAATGAGATTTATTCAGGCTTGGTCTTTATTAATACTGTATAGATTAAATAACATTTAATTATAACAATAATTAATGCATATTGTATATTATTGAAAAAATTAGAAATAATACTATTAATATTTTTACATTTTTCTTGTGATCTTTTATTCTGTTTAAATGTAATTTCATAATGTTTGAAACTTAGGGTTTGCAAAATTTTGGCTACTGCTTTGTTTACATAATGTATGATATAAGCACTTGTCATATGACACACTTTGAATATCTGTCCTTCTAAATCTCATGTGGAAATTTGATCCCCAGTGTTGGAGGTGGGGGGCTAAAACGGGAGGTGTTTGGATCATGCAGGCGGATCTGTCATGAATGTCTTGGAGTCACACTTCTGGTAATAAGTCCTAACTCCATCAGTTTCTATGAGATTGAATTGTTTAAAAATGTGTGGCCCTGCCAGTTCTCTCTGCCTGGCCCTGCCCCCACTCTCTCTGCTGGATCCTGCCCTGCTCTCTCTCTCTCTCTCTGCCTGGCCCTGCTCTCCCACCCCCACCTGGCCCTGCCCACTCTCTCTGCCTGGCCCTGACCCCCACTCCTGGCCCTGCCTCTGCTCTCTTTGCCTGGTCCTGCCCCTGCTCTCTCTGCCTGGCCCTGCCCTCCAACCCCTACCTGGCCCTGCCAGGTCTCTCTGCTGGCCCTGCCCCCTCTCTCTGCCTGGCTTTGCCTGCTCTCTCTCTGCCTGGTCCCACCCCCACTCTCTCTGCTTGGCCCTGCTCCCCATCTCTCTGCCTGGCCCTGCCTGCTCTCTCTGCCTGGCCCTGCCCCCACTCTCTGCCTGGCCCTGCTCCCCATCTCTCTGCCTGGCCATGCCCCCACTCTCTGCCTGGTCCTTCCCCTCATCTCTCTGCCTGGCCCTGCCTGCTCTCTCTCTGCCTGGCCCTGCTCCCCATCTCTCTGTCTGTTCCTGCCCGCTCTCTCTCTAGCTCCCTCTCTCGCCACGTGACAGTCCTGCTCTAGCTTCTCCTTCCACCTTGGTTAGAAGCTCCCTGAGTCCTTCAACAGAAGCAGAGGGCTGCACCATGCTTCTTATACAGCCTGCAGAACTATGAGCCACATAAACCAATTTCCTGTAGAAATTACTCAGCAAAAACATCTTAGTACATTACAAAAAACATACTAAGATACCATATTTCTTACTACACTAAGATAACATTAATATTTTACTTCAGTTATGTACAAATATTTCTTAATATGACAATATTATACATAGTAAATAACCATTTAGGGGCATTTTTATAAACTTTCCATATTTTCACTGTACTAATAATGCCTTTATAAGATTGATGAGAAAAAGAAATAAAATAAACTTTTTAAATTGCTCAAAAAAAAAAAAAAAAAAAAAAGCCTGGTAGGTACTAATCACTCCCTACAGAAATAATGACTTGTCCCATTTGCTGATATTATAAGTCAGAATTAAATTTCCGTGTGTGATTTTTTCCTGGACTTCGTTTTTTAAATTAAATAATTTTTAGTCTACTTTCTTTTTAGGATTCCTTTTCTAACAAAAAATTTTAAAACTTCTAGAAATAATATGGAATTATGGGTAACATTTTACTTTTTGAATCAAATATCTCATCTAACATATATACGTTTCAATAATTAATTCCACCTTAGTTATAATACATAAAACACAAGTATTTAAAATTCCTGAATATAAACAGATTGATTTTAGATGAATCTTTGAACAGTATTGTACATTTTTTCATTCTTTTTATTTTAGACAACAAAACAAAACATTTTACCAACAGTTGGACTATCCTTGTTATTAAAACTTTTGTAGGCAAACTGTCATCAGCTAAGCTAAAGCAGCAGCTGTCCACTGGAAATAATTGCAGAAATGTTTGCCCATTGGCCTGAAATCAAACATATGTTTTTCTATAAAAACTAAAATGTAACTTTCTTTATTTATATGTGTTAATTATTGAAGGGTGTTAATTACAGAGATATACACCTGGATTGTCAGACTAGCAAAAAAAAATTGATATCCTGAGAAGTAGAGAGTTTAATGTATTTTTAATGTTTTAGATATTTGATATAATACCATATCCTGTAATAACGCTTTTGACTTATTTATAATTTCATATTTGTCAAAGGTCATGTGTATACATTGAGAAGAGTTCATTTTTCCCCATAACTATCAGTGAGGAGAACTAATTTATGTCCACCATGGCAAATAATCTTTAGTTTGGGTTGTACGGACTTTTTATCTCCTTGTCACTTTTACTGATGGGATTTTATAGGCTGTGCAACTTTTCATGCTCTTCTTGTCTGGAATCTTTGAGACCTTCAGTTGTCATAAATTTAAAAAGAAATTACTGGTAGTATAGCCAGGGTTGAATATTCGATTTGCATTTCCAGTTTTATCTATATTATTTTCATGTGTGCAGAAAATAATAGCGCCCATTTAGCTTGTATACAAAGGTGTTGATTGATTTCAGAGTTTCATCCGTGTGATAGTCTAGGAAGAAACATATTCACCTCTCCAAAGAGGCCTTTAAAACAGCACAGGTGCTCTATTATTATAATGCTGCGGGTTTTTTTAGAGAATAGAATTGATGGGATGCTATCACAAATGTCACTCAAGATTGCTAAAATTCTGACATCTAAAAATAAACGCACTGTTTACCTTATTAAAATAAAAATAGCAATGATCCCGTATGGCCATTCACTTTGTGTGGGGAATTCTCCCATCAAGGAGACAAGACCTCTCAGTAGTTCCTGTACTACCCTCATAAAAATAAAAAGTAAACAAAGAAAACATTACCTTCTGTATAGTAATGATTCCTTCCTGTGTATCTTTGTCAACAGAAATCTTGAAAATCCCTAATCCATCACCGTCCACAATCTTGTACTCCATTTCAGCATTAGCTCCAATATCTGCATCAGCAGCTTTAATTCTCGCCACAACTGAGGCTACAGGCAGAGATTCCGGGACGTTATATTGGTAAGACCCTGTGAAATTCAAAACAAGAAATGAGCAAAACTGTATACCAAGCTAGCCAATAAACATTAACCTTTGGCTATTTTGCATCATCTTCATTTCATTTGTTTTTATTTATAAATAAAACAGTTTCTAAGGCCACATGAAATAACAGGCAGTGTTCCTATAACCTTAAGAATTTTAATGGAATAATTAGGTAACGATCACCCTGTGACAGCAGAAGTAACAGGTCTGAGTAAGGGGGAGAGAAGAATCTCTCACTCTTTTATTTCTACTATAAGAAATATGCTACCTTTAATAATAAAAATAAATTTAAATAATCATGCATGCATCATATTTAATCAAGCATGATTAATATTCAATTATTAAATGTAAAACATGAAATACTATATGTAGCAGCCTGAATAGCCTATGGCTAGGAGGAACGAGAGTTATAAGAAATACCCGTATAGCTCAATAATGGAACACTTTGGTGAAAAGGGCATGGAGAGGAATTTAGCTCTCCTACCAAGCATGAGAGCTCGCGAGATGAGGGCAGTGGTGAATTGGCAGCCTCTACACCTGTGGCGTTGAGACGCACAGATCAGCCAGGTCTCCTATCCTAACGCCAGCACCATGTCTCTCTGCTAAAAATAACTAAGTTCTGCTAAAGACTAAGATCTATCTATTCTAAGACTGCTTTACTCTCTCTAAGACACGCTCTCCCTCTCCTGCTAAAGTAGCTAGCCCTCAGGCACCTAAGAGAAATTGGTCCTGAGTGAGATAATAGCTTAGCAGTTCACATCAGGAACCCAGTTAAGCCAGCCTGAGACCTGGCCAGTCCCCAGCCCCGTCACGTGGTGTCAGGAGTGGGGTGTGACAATTATAATCTAAATATTAAGAAAAAATAGAATAGATTTGACTTCTAATGGGCATATACAAACCTAAATGGCTTTGATAACTTCATACTGAAAGTTACTTAGTATCTTTCTGTAAGAAAATTTTGGAAAAGTGAGTAAGAAAGTTTGTGAAAGACAGTATTAGTTTTCTTGTAGCTCACAGATTTACTTTGTGGTTGTATGTTGAACTGGCGTGCGGGCACCATGGCACGAAGCATAGGGAACAACGCTTGACCAGGAAGAAAGAGAAGTGTGCAAAGGAATAACTTTGGAACACTTCTGTTTAACTCTGTCGTAACTTCTTTTTGCCATCTCTCATCTAAAATCAATTTGGTGAAGAAGAAATTCTAGGGTAACCACTCAGAAACGAGAAACTGTCTCAGCACCCTCTGCTCTCTCTCCATTGCTCTTTAATCATTCACTTTCCGTGTCCCTCCATCTTCTCTCATTTCCTTTTGATTGTTAAATTGTGCCTTGCTTACAATATATGGTTATTACTTTTGATCGACTCTTTTCAATGCCAAGAGGAGTCCTTAGAAAAATAGAAAAAAAAATTGTAAATGGCTTTTTTCTCTTTAATGTGTAGGACAATATTTAATACGCTAGACAGCCTGTGTTCTATCTTATCAAAACATGACAACCTAAACTGCTAAAACGATATGTATCAATTCTCACCACTCCAGGCTTGGAGAAAAAAGAAGCAATTAATTTCACTATGAGCCTAAGGTTATTACATTATTGCGTTTTTTTTTTTATTCTGAATCCCCTCCTTTTTCATCCATGACAAGCCATCAAAATCACAATTAAAGATAGGCTCATTGTTTAAAGTCCTGAACTCAGTGTCACTTTTTAATATTTCCAGGAGGTATTGAGATGTTCATTTTCTAAGAACGGTAATAGTAAAAATATGTCATACAAAACTGAAAATTCTAAGACATATTTGAAGGAAAAAATAATGGCTTTCAAATTTGCTCAGAAAGCTTCCTTTATTGATACAATTTGCTTCTCAGTTTGGTTGGTAGGAAGCTTAGTTCCTATTTCCAGCATTTTAGACACACCATACAATGTTGATGTCTGTGTAATCTCTTTATTTTCTTGAACATTCGAAAGAAATATCACATGCACTTAAAAATTTATGAAAGGAACTGAAAAGAAAATGAGATGAAATCCATGAACAGGACCCTGGTTTTTCCTTTTTCTTGGTTAAGTCAAAGCCACTTTGGTCAAACAAGCTGAATTGAGGGCAGGTGGTTTTCTGGTTCCTCAGATTGATTTCCTTTAAAACACTGAATGTTTGCACTAGAAAGATGTGGTAGCATTGCTAAAGGAATGCTCAGGGTTCAGAAAGTGGTTTAAAAAAGTGTAGAATGAAAAACTGAACATGTTTTGTTCTATGTTTTTAATTTCCGCAATACAGAAATATTTGCACTGTGTAGAACTGATAATTGAATATTTAACAGGCTGCATGATTTAAGTTTTTACTACTAATTGGTCACAAACTTATAATTTACAGAACATATATAAAGAGAATAAGCTTTAGGAAGGAAGACTATGCAATTACTATGTAACTGTCCAGTGTTCAAAGTGAGAATAGTAGAAATCATATCATATTTAAGGTAATGTTATATAAATATATAATGGCTTTTATTTCTTTTCAATACTTTTGTAATCTATATGATTAATTAAAATTATGCCTGTGATAAAATGCAAATTTGGGAAAATGCAGTAAGACTCTATTTGCTTTAGAAATATGAAAATCCTCCCTTCTAAGGAGATGTTTCTGGTGCTGTCAGGGAGCGTTAGTGCACTTTCATCATTTACCAGAATCGCTTACTTCGGGGGAAGCGAGGGGGGTTATCGTTGACATCCGTGAGGGTCACAGTGACTGACGTAGTTCCCGACAGTCCTCCATTTTGACCAACCATATCCTTTGCCTGAATAACAAGCAAATACTGGTCTTTAGCCTCTCTATCCATGTTTGGAAGGGCAGTCTTGATGACTCCTGTAAAATTTCAAATCCCAGTAAAACGCATCATGAATCACTGCAGTTACACTAACAAAGAACATTGATACAACTGGCAAGTCGCTGTAGAACTGCTGCCTTTTGTTGTTTTGTCTACTTCAAATAATTTTAAAACACGTTAATGACCAAAGGTGTATGATAACTTTATACACTATTCCAAAACAGCAAATGCTGTAATGTGATCGTCTCAATATTGGATAAAGAGGACCATCTGTAGGTTTCATGCAACATGGTTAAGGAAAGAAGAATTTATAAATAAATAAAATGGCCCCTTCTCCTGAACAGCAGGCGGTCACCTGAAAGTACATAAAAAAATGAACATATCCTTTCAGCCATTCCAAAAACTTATAATTTATAACAATTTATAATCAGTTTTCAAGTTAAACAATATTCATGCTATTTTTAGCAACCTTATTTTTGTTTAGGCCTGAGCACACTAGGTTCAAACACAAACACACTTGCATATCAATAACGCATCATATTTTAAGCATTTGAATTACACTTATTGGAGTAGGCCAGGTTGTTTTCTTTCAAGGTTACGAGTTTGCTAAACCAACCACAGCTGCATCCTCTTTACAATGGGCACAATCAACGCTTTAATTCAAACCGTCATTGAATCCTTTGGCTATCTACAAACTTTAGAATTAATCTATCAATTACAATGAAAACAAAAAATAAATCACATGCCCATTAGGTTCAGTTAGTGTCTGGAAAATATTCTTCTTAGAGCCATAATGATTCTATGAATTTTTCACATTTGTTCTTCAGTGCTTCTGTTAACTTATTTAATAAAAAATCCTTGACTTGCCCAATACTACTTATCATCTAACAAACAATCTTGAGTAAGATTTCTGGGACATACAAGTCTCCACCTTTTCCCTTTCTTTCTTTTTCTCCTGTTTATTTTTCTTTTGTGACTCCCTTTTTTTTGGTAAGTTGATCACTGCTTATCTTGAACATTTTACCAAAAAGTGCATTTCATCTTGTATGACGATGTTAATGAGTTATTTTCAGGAAAATATTCTATCTATCAAGTTTCAGTTTTTTACATCTATTCATCTCTCATTTTTTCTTCTGATACCAATATATATGTGAGTTACCTTTCCACATTTAGTATGATGTTTATCAGAAGGACACAGCACCTCAAATCATCTCCAATAGAAATACTGCAGCTTCATCCTCTCCTGGCTTTGTAGTGATATATATATATATATATATAACACATATATATAGTTTATGTTATATATAAACATTTATGTTATATATATATGTTATATATATAACACATGTTATGATATATATGTGATATATATATAACACATATATATAGTGTTTTTTTTGGCCGGGGCTGGGTTTGAACCTGCCACCTCTGGCATATGGGGCTGGCACCCTACTCCTTTGAGCCACAGGTGCTGCCCTGTAGTGGCATATTTTTGAAAGGAAATATAGCATCATGAGGATAGAAGTCTGCTAGTCAAAGTTTCTCACTTATTCTTCACACATCTAATTGTTTCTTTTTAAGTGATCCTATAAATAATAATTTTCCAAAGCAAAAATCGTCACAAAGGTTGACAATTAATGCAGGTGGGAAAGGTAATTTCTAAATGTCTCAACTGTTAAACATATTTTTAACAAGAATGAAATAATTGGGGGGAAATTGAATTTAAATAATAACAGTGATATGACTTTTATGAGCTTCTACTTTTAAGTAAAAGCTGTCTATATTTGGAAAAGAATGCTCACATATTGCATTTTATCTGCACTTTGTCACTTATCATATAAATATATAGAGGAGACATAATTAATACTAATGTTCATATAACATTACTGAATCCTCTCTCTCTCTCTCTCTCACACACACACACACACACAGTGAATTGTTAACCCCCTACAACTGAACTTGTAAAGACTAGTTCTAGTCTAATTGGATACCTATTACTACACATAATTCTAGAGTTTTTCATGGAAGTTAACAATATGATTTAATTTCAATTTCAATAATTTTAAGTCATTTACAATGAGGAAAAAAAATCTATGATTTACTGTTTAGAAAAGATACTGGCTCAAATTTCAGGCTTTCTAAGTAAAATTTTTTCTGTAGATATAACATCTGACTCCAGTAACTCAGAACTTTTCATTTATTTATACCACATAAATCATGTTCATAAAAAGTATTATGCATACAAAACACAAACTTACGTTGCTATTGTTCAAAACTGTCTGTTTTTAAGTCTAGGGAAAAATATTTCAATGATTCTATAATCTCCTACAGCCACAGATCATTTTTAAGCATATTCTGTTACCTTGGAAACGTCTTAAAAAATTGATATATAACAGATAAGAGCCATTTCAAAATCTGTCACAGATTAGGGAACCAAATAATCATTGGAACACAGACGCTGCACAGATGCAGGCTTTGAATTAGCCTGAAGTGACTCGGCAACCACACACACCCAAGTAATGGGATTTGGGGTGTTTGTGCTGTGAGTTCCCCACTCATTGGGATTTTCCTTACTAAAATTGTATCCATGTTTTTGGAGATGACTCTGAGTGGACTGATATTCCAAAGGGAATCTCAATATTGGAAAACCAACTTCCTCAGGGATCTAATTAACCAAGGAAATCCCTTCTTATGACAAGCAGGACACGGATCACCTTCATGTACCAATTCCAAACGCTCATTTATCTGCATCACAACCTTCATCTTCTAGAGTTATGTCAAGAGGTCTAAGACCACAGAATCAGAATTTCTAATCAGAGATTAGAAACAGCAGCTTTCTCATGCCTTGTGTTTACTAATAATATATACCTGGAGGCGAGGACCCTCGATGAGCCAAAGCCGTTCAGTCAGTTGAAAGAACAGCACACACACAAGTAGAAGGGAGTTTAACATCTATGCAGCTTATCTGTCTGCTTTGCTTTTGTTTCAACAGAACTACCTGGATATCTACTTTGGGTAGCCACTTTAACCGTGATGAATGTGCACCAGTGAACAAGGATAGATATGGCTGGAAGTGAGCCAGATATGTATTTGTGTATTCAGTTTCTGTCAATGTGCATTAATATAAGCACCAGCAATGCTTATTACCAGTATCAGCCTATTCTGTTTTACATTATCTCCATGAGTGTTATGTTACCTGATATTTAGAAATATAGTACATATTCAGGAAAGAATTTCAATGTTTTTCTAGTAAAGACAGAATTTTACAGGTAAGAAGTAAACAGTCCCATATGCACATTCTGCCTGAATATCAGTGGTCACTTTTGTAAATTTTTTCAGTCTTAAATGCCATCTTCTTTCCTGGGGAGAGGTCCTGGTTGAGTAATCCACTAAGCCCAAAACACCCAATGACTGAGTCTTGTGATGTAACATATTGATAACCACTGAAAGTTAAAAAGAAAAAAATCAGAACCTTACAGTATAAAAAGATAATAAAAATAGGCTAGGCATGGTGGCTTGTGCTTATAATTCTAGTACTCAAGGAAGCTGAGGCAAGAGGATTACTTGAGGCCAGAAGTTCAAGACCAGCTTGAGCAAGAGTGAGACCCTGTCTCTACAGAAAATTATCTCGGTGTGGTAGTACAGGCCTGTAATCCTGTCTACTTGAGAGTCTGAGGCAGGAGAATCACTTAAAACCAGGAGTCTGAGGCTGCAACCAGCTGTGATTACGCCACTGCACACTAGTCCCGGAGCCAGAGCAAAACCCTCTCTCAAATAAATTAATTAATTAATCAATTTTAGGGAAAATGGAGAAAGAAAATGGTGTTTGTAAGTATGTGTATCTCTGAGACTAGAAATGCATTGGGAAAATATACTGTTCTATATTTCAAAATCCTATAATGTCCCTAATACAGTATAAAAAATACATTACATATTTGTAGAATTATGGAGATGGATATAACTCAGAGTCAGGCAACACTCTTTCTTACAAATATTGACACTGAGCAATGGCAAAGGAGATCCTGGACAAAGCAACTTCAACTTTTAATAAAAATAAATATTCATGATGCTTGGAAGTTTAATTTCAAAGTAACTAAGAAACTGGAATAAGCAGAACTGTTTAAAACCAGCTTTCTGCTTTTAAAAATACTCAACCGTAACAGTTCAAACATCAGAATATGAATTATAAATGGATTTCATAAAACAGGTGATCCAATAAAGGACAGTATTCTTATTACTGACATTTATCTATAGGGAATCACGGATGAAAGAGTGCCTTGTACTGCTTATCCAAGAACTATGCTGAAGGTTAACTGAGAAAACTCTTGGAGAAAAGAAAAAATTTATCAAACAAAAATCACAAAATTGGGGGATGTACCTTTTATTTTGCATGCAAGATGTAAGTCTCTTGTTAAGTTTGCACTTGTTTCTAAATTTCATCTGTTGAATCGTTTGGCTTGTCCCTTTGTGAGTGTGGTATACACCATGTAACAGAACCCTCAAACATGAAAATCCAACAGTAGTAAAGCTGGAAGCTTCTGGAACACCAAAGGACTCCTGGCTGGCAGTGGAAGGGACAACTCTTGTGCTCTGTGTGGGAGGCTCTTAGCAAGTTTGAAAGGAGCCAGGCCCTTCCACAGCAGGAGCCACACCTCGGAGTGGGACATGGGTGAAGGGCTCATTTGGGAGGGTCGATTTGCCATGACAGTGCAACTCATATCAAATTATGATACAACAAGCATGCATGCAATATAAAATACAGGCACCACATACTCACACTTCTTGTGTCTAAGGAAAAGTCCTAAATGACAAGTGATGTTTAAGGGTCAATCCATTGTCCAGGGCTTGCTTTGTGGCCACGTGACATGCGTGGTCTTTCTGAATCCGTGCCTGGTTTAAAGTTCTGCTGATGACATCTTGAAATCCTCAGTCGTTTTAGAAAGGGGGCCCTGCATTTTCATTTTGAACTGTAGCCAGTTGAAATTACATAGCCAGGGCCGCCATATATCAAATAGACCTAAAAGTGGGATCTATTTGTTTACAGGATAGATTTTAAAATAATCCCACTTCCCATAAGTTCGTGGACAGTATGAAGACAGGTGATGAGAAACTTCTCAGTCCTTTTAATGCTGCATTATATTGTTTCTGGTGTCGTTATTTGCTTACTGAAGGAAATTGTCAACATTGAATTCTGTAAATACTCACACTCTGGCTTTGTGTAAGAAGAAACAAAGGTTGAAAATACAGATACCCTCTGGTCATTCAGCCTGTAAACAGGGCTACAGATAGAATTTGTGTTCTGGGCTTTCAATCATATTCTCTTAGAAGTTCAACCATCTTATAAAAATGCAAATAACATTTATAGCAGTACCATGCTATTTTGGTTACTGTAGCCTAGTAGTATAATTCCAGGTTAGATAATGTGATGCTTCTGGATTAGTTCTTTTTGCTTAGGTACGCTTTGGCTCTTCAAGCTATTTCTGGGTTTCATATGAGTTCAGCAACTGGAGGACAGTATGCTGAGTGAAAGAAACTCAAGAACAGAAAACCCGATGCTGCATGTTCTCACTTATGAGTAGGAGTAAACACAGGGTAGTGTGCACGCGAAGAAGATTATAAAGCACAGTGGAGATTCAGAAGGGCGGGGGGAGGGGAGTAAGGGAAGCAATCACCTATTCTGTACAATGCACACCAGATGGGCAATTGGTATATTGAAAGCCCAGACTTCACCACTACACAGTTCATTCATGTAACCCCAAATCACTTGTAATCCTAAATCTATTGAAATCTAAAAAAATGCACCTAGCAGCAATGGTCTGGCTCTATGTTTACAAAACTTTATTTAGCATATATTCAGCAGTTTTTTCCTTTCAAAATTTTATGTTCTTCCCCCAAATCTTTAGATTTGAAGTGAAAAATAATGTTACTTTTCACATAAATAAGAATGAGCCTGCCACCCGGTAAGGAAGATCAACTGTAACTTGATTTACAGCTCTCTGTGCAGGCAGGACTGAACACTCCACATTTTTGTCAGAAAAATCTAATTTTTTTCTCTTGAAAAAATGTATTCTACATAGTATGAATTAGCAAAAGGACAAAAATCTCTAGACTATCTCTACACTAATGGTTATAGAAAGAGAAGTCCCAAGGATTACAGAAGTATAGCATTAAAAATTAAATTAAACTTTCTTCATGTCCTGTAATAAATGTTTCATTCAATTCTGAAATTAAAGTTCAGTTTGAAGCACTGAAAATGTAATTCTATGACATAAATGTTGTCCACTTGATTCACTGGTGAGGATTTTCCAATACTGGCTTCTAGGCAAATCCTATTTTCTTGATGGCAAACTAAAACCATAAGCCAATCATTAGTGGCAGCAAAATATTTAATCCTTAGGGTTAACATACACGTATTATTTGGGGGCAGGTTATACAACATAGGAGTGTATAATCTGTGATGAAATTGTCAGAAAGTTGTCGATGTTTTTTATTTGCAAAGAGTGGACCTAAAGGTAAGAGGCGGGGGCTTGAATTTAGAGTTATCAGATCCATTGTTACATCACATGTGAGCTGACTTTTTACATTCACAGGATTTGTGTCATAAATCAAATACTTGCATTTAATTCTCCTTCAAACTTGCTTAATCATAACTATTTCTTTTCTATTAGATTTTTCAGGTGCTTTCCAAGCTCTCCCACTACCTTGGTATAAAATGAGCATGACAGTCTCTATGAAAGTTCCAATGAATGAGCTGGGATGGAATTCACTTCTCTGTTGATGTGCGTTAAAAGAACTGTCATTCCCAAAAGACATTTAAAGAATTTATTTCACAGTGAATTGAAAATCAATGAATATCACCCTTTTTGTAAATATGGAAAGAAGTATCCATGACATTAAAATATTTATTTTAGACCATATGTACCATCAAATATTTATAATTATAAATCTATATAGTCAAAGAATTCTACTTCATTATAAAGGTAACATTACATTTAAAGAGAGATATTTAGGGTTTTCATGGTGAAGAAAGAAATCAACGGCATGCAACCACCAGTGTTCCCACCCATCCAGCCCTCCCTATACAAACAGAGACAGAACAACCAAGTAGATTAAAATATCATTTTATCACCAAGATAACAAATGTTCCACGTCACCTTCTTAATGTAAACCATTAATATTTCAGCTTACAAACAAAACAGAACAAAACAACCCCATTGTCTATTCCTACGATCTTACAACTGCTAAAAAATTTTTTCTCCTAAAATGAAAAAAACCATTTTTCATTTAGTTTCTGATTTAGCAACCCCTCACTGCAATTGTTATATTTCATATCTTCGAGGGAATCAGCCCCTGGAGGAATAAACTGCACTGCAGAGAGGTTTCTACCTGAGAGTTAAGTTCTACCAGGTTTAATTCCAAATTCACGAAGAAAACAAAACACAAATACAAGGTCAAGGCGAATGATCAACATTTTGTTAAACAGTCGGTAGATGGCGGCTGACATTCTCTTGAATATATAGTATTTTAAAAGCATTTTGTTAGGTTACCAATGATTGTACTTAAGAATTCTTTAAAGGGGATTAGTCTTCTACAAACAATACGCTATTTACCAGACATACTGAGAGAAGCACAATAAAAATATAGAATCTGTTCTCAGTGCCACCTATGCTTCCTGATATGTAAGAGCATGTCGATTCTAAGCCACCACATGAATGATTATAAGAAGGTCACAGCTAGTTTTTACCTGTCTTTGGTTCCACTGAGAAGTACGGCTGTCCTTGCAGGATACTGTACACCACCCTGGCGCTGTTGCCATATGTGGGGTCGTCAGCATCCGTCGCTGTCACTTGTACTACGGAGGTCCCTAAATCCCAATCCCAAAAACACTGCATTAAAAACTTCCAAAGACCAGGAACTTACAAAACCTTAATGATTTCACGTTAGGCTTATTTGACATTTTTCATTTATCTTCTTTAAAAGCACATGAAAAACTGATGCACCTCAAAAGAAATCAACCCCCCAAATGATAAATACTAATGAAGCTCTTGAGATAGTTAAAGGATATGAAAATGTTTTGGCAATGATGATGCACCTTAGCTCAAGACAGACTCAGAATCGGGTGGGACTGAAATTTTATGTGTTTCGTCCCTGGGGCTCTATCGAGAGCAGTCTTTAATCACCATCCAGAAGACAACAGGGTAAGAGCGTCTCGGACCCTGGAATCTTTGCAGGCATCTCATTCTGTAGTTAAGAAGAGCCAGAAATTTCTCTAATTGGACAAAGAGTTTTTTTATCCATCTAATAGGATATTGGGTGGTTACCCTGTCTCCTAGGAAATCATTTTATATTTTACTTGTTTCTGCCAATTGATTTAAAAACAAAACAGAAAGTTAAAATTTAAACCAAACCCTCACAATGGAGAAAAATTTTGGCAACTTTAAAGATTGCGTTACTAGTTATTTTTTCTATATTGCATGTAACAGAATGGCCTATTGTTTCTTCATTCACTAAGTGTGCACATATCCAATAATCAGAAAGCATTTACCCTAACCTGTTATTACACATTTCCATTTTGAATGCAATCTTTAAAATATTAGAGAGATTCATGTTTGCATAGTTTATATATGAAGTCATATACTATTGTGTTATTCATGTCTGATCTGATGGATTTGAGACAAGCCCCCTTCTTTGTGTATTTTTTGATGTCATAGTTTGTTTCTAATAATTTATTGAATTGGCATTTTAAATCTAACATCTTTTAAAAATGTTTTCCCATATAACTCTCTCTAAAGATCTTATTTTTTAATGTCCATTTTGGTACAAATATATCCCATTTTCCATATTATGGTTTCTATTATCAATTCCGTTTTCTTTAAAATTGTGTAGAAATTATGAAGATATGTCGATGGCATCATTTTTGAAATTCTAAAGTTCTACACTCACTACAATTAAATAGACCAGTGGATCCAGATGTTGGTCTGGCCGGCCATGATGGTCATCCTGATAAAACCGCCAGGTGCTTAGAACAGTAAATCATTATCCTGATATCATGGAAAGAAAAGTAAAGATCATCACTGGCCTGGAAGTATCTTATTTTTTAATTTGCTAGGCATAACTATAATCATTAAAAGTGTGTGTGCAGTAAGTAGAAAAGGAAATATAAGACATTTCCAAAAAACGTGAGATACCTAAGTACAAGGAAAACGTTCCTAATATTCCATATAAGCAAAATAATGTGTTTAATTAAAGGGCACTGACTGTCTCAAAGTTTCCCTTCACCCTGGCAATTGCTATACACATACTAAAGTGTGATTTCTCCCAGTTTTTAATGACAATTTCATTTTAAATACAGATTCCTGAACTCAGAAACTCACTACAAAAGCAGCCTGTTCTTTACTCACCCACGGGAGACATTTCAGGGACTCCTGCAGTGTATGGACCATCCAAAAATTTGGGCTCGTTGTCGTTGATGTCCTGAATTTTGATGACAAACTCCGACTCGGGCTCCACGGGCTTGTTGGTGAGCCTGTCCAGCGCCTGCGCGCGGAGCGTGTAGTAGGCCTGCTCCTCGCGGTCCAGCCTCTTGGTGGCGTGAATGTCCCCCGTGTTCTCATCAATAATGAAAATGGAACTTGCCCCTTCGCCTGACAAGATGTATTTGATGGAACCATCTCCTTTATCAACATCAGAGTGAAGCTGGTGAAAAATTCATGTGAGATGAGATTAACTTACAAGAGAGTCAGCGATATGTAGATATGTAAAAATCATTCTTATGTCAGGCGGCAGTACATGAAAAAAAATTTTTTTTGTTCTTGGAAAGATAAGCTGAATGCTTATTGTGTACAGCAGAAAAGCTATTAGAATGTGTCAGCTTGTGCTGGCGAGCAAGACAATTCCATTTCTTCCTGTAAACAGTCTCATTTCCAAAGATACTTTATCATCATTCCCAAAGTTAGGAACTTGTTGTCGTGTTATTTTTGATTTGGGTTGTCCTTGCCAGCCCTCGCCATCTTCTTTGAACCAGGCAGGCATTCAGTAAACACATATAAATTGGTTGATGTGATCTTATTTCAAGCAAAGGGACTTTCTATAGAACATTTGTAAATTTACTTTGAAAGTATAATTTAATATGCCCAGAAATCCCCACATTCTGTGAGAATGACCTTTTCTCCCTCCTCCCTGGCCCCCACTCACATTATTTTCCATAATTAACAAATATAGATGGTTTCCAGTCACCAAATCTGTCTCCAAATCCTGTTCTGTGTTTTAAAATATGAAGCTGAAAAAATTACACGGCTCTCTAAAGTGGGAGTTTTAAATCAATGCGTGCTTGGGACTGCAACTCAAACCTTCCTCCAAATACCGGGGACGGCATGGCATTAGCTTTGCATGATTAACCCCGCGCGGCGGCAGCAGAGGCGGCACCTAGCCATTTGCATTTCAGATCTGGGACTGTCCCTGCTGTATGTCAGAACATTATGTCGAACAGAGGGACCTTAGGAAACTCAGAAATAATTACACATTTTCCTGAACCTCATAACCTGAGAAATGCACTATTCATTCTATCATTTCAGCAATCTTTCATTCCCTATAACTGCCATCATTCTGGACTTGGGTTAATAGGAATATAAAAACCCAATTTACCAAATAACAAAGATTTTCAGGGCCCTGCAGAACTGCATTTTTAAAGATACTAGAGGATAAAAAATAGAAAATATATATGAAAAATAACACTTGGGGAAGCGTGGGTGTGGCAGATTTCTCCCTTACTGTAGTTTTCTGTAAGTGAGCCTTCCCTCACACTATAAAAGCTACGTTTATACTCTGCCCCAAAGTATTTAAATACCTGATTCATCTTTTGGTATTTGAAGTTTTTAGTCAGGAGGAAGTAATACAAAAAATAAGTTTCTGGCACATGTTCTAGTTTCATTTTTTTCAGTGCGGAATTATCTCATGAAGAACTGCACTACCTGTTTATCCAGTAGACAGAGAAGGTATGTTCTTAAACTGTGGTAAATTGCTTAATTTCCTTAAGTCATTCTCAGAGTTACTGCTACATACATCTCTCTATATATATAATTTAGGATGGAAGGAATATGAAAATTATCGTAATTTTAATCATTAAGAGTTTCCTAGTTGTCAGTACTATTCTTAATATTCTCTACCTACTAACCTCCTTCACTATTCACACCTGCCTCTTTAATGCTAGTAACGGATGGAGACACAGAGGTACAGAAAGGCTAAGGTCTTTGCTTGGAGTCACTCAACCATCTTTCCGGCAGCACCAGAAAGCCGGCAGGCTGGGGGAAGACTGAGGTTCCCCTCCCCGTAACCAGGTCCTGCCTCTGAGATTCCCTATCTCCAGCGGCTCTGTGTGGCAGGGACATCAATGTTGCTGCAGAGGAGAACCTGGGCATGAGAAACTGATCCCCACTCACCCCCTGAGCACTCCCCAGATCTAAGAGCAGCTCATGGTTCGGGATGCTTCCCGTCTGTGCATTGTATGACTTACGGGAAGGGCCTCAGTGGACTCTACCACACTCAACAATAAAGAGCAAAAACTTAAGTCCTGAGACAATTGCAGGTGGTGGATGAAAATAAATCGTTTGTAAGCTTCTAGCCCCTCGACGCACGTTCAGTGCTACTTTCTTAACGCTTCCGGACGCTCCCGGCCGTCATCTTTCCCTCGTGTTACGTGGGGCACTGGTTTGTGGTGTCCTGCCTTCATGCTACTGCTGACCACAGTGTAGGATGTTAGGGGAACAGCCAGGTCACCATAAGATGCATCAGCAATAGGTGGGCTCAACTTTAACCAAAGCTTTCGCCACCTCTAAATCCCACCAGGGCTTCCCAGTACAGAACCATCCCTCCTCACTCATTTCCTAGCTCTTGTCAACCTGTGGCTGTGTTCGTGTCATGATTAGACACTGTGCCTCTCGTATCCCAGGTCTGGGGGAAAGGAAAAATGTCTTGTCTTTTCAATATAAAATACACACTAGGTCCTACTGTGAACTCCACTCTGAGCTCTGATGCTGCATTTTTACGGACAGGATGAGAGTTTAAAAGTAAAAGGCTCATTTTGTTTATCTCTCCTGTCATGCAGCAGGACGATCCCTTCTTTTCCATGATCCCAATGTACACACACACACCCCACACATCCTGTTTCAGAAGCCCGGAACTTTATCATCTGCCTCATCACTGACAATTTTCTCCCTGCTGGTACCGTCACTTGGCTGTAATCATTGCCCAAATTCACAAGCAGAAAATTGCTTGGAGTCTAAACTCAGTGTCCTTACAAGGTTAGTGCAAGCATCTGTGGTTAAAGTGGTTGGCCAAGTTTGATTTGTTAAGATGGTACCTAATTATCAGATGCACTCAGATGTTTCCTCTGTAAGACTCTGTGCATTATACCCATCTTAATAGGGGGAATGGAATCCGTGCTGTTAGTGAAAAACTGCTCCCTCTCTCTCTGCTGAAAGAGAATCCTCGGCAAAGAAGAAAAACGCTGCGAGTGTCGAAATCGCAAATAGCACTCTTAAGTTGACATCTGTCTGTGTAGGTGCACACACACATACATATGCTAGTTCCCATACGCAGAACTGTTACTCTGCACAGTGAAAACTTATGGCCAGGAAACAAAGTCAAAAGCAAAAGCTATGGTCCCACAATATGGCAAATGAATGAAGAAATGAAAGCAAAACATTTGCCCTCTCTGTGGGGCAGAATAGAACCCACAATGCTATGTCTACTTCCCTTGCAAATACCCTTATGAACATAATCCTCCCCACCCCATAATCAATCTCTGTTCATAAATATCAAACAAGACTCAACTTTACTGCCTGGGTTCCTAAGCTTTTTCAAAGTTTCTGTATGACTTCAATGTAAATATTTAAATTCAAGATTTCTTTATTCCAGTGAGCACAAAGAATACGGAGTACCTAACCCTTATTTGAGTCTAGCTCATGATCAAGGATAGGGGAGGTGCAATGATGATGTGAATCCTGTGTGTTATTATGAATGAAACCATCATGGATAAAAAAATGCAAAAAACATCAACTTGGGTTAGACTATCATTATTAGGCCAGGGATGGCAAAGCACACATACAGGTACCCCCAAATCTCTCTCAAAGATCATTACAGCTCCTTTACCGCTGCTTGCTAGAGCACCCCATATGTCTGTTATATCCATACCTTTTTCATTCTCTCTGGACTATACTCCAAGTTAAGACTCTTCGAACCTTTCACTTTGGCTGTTACAAAACTCTTCCATTTTTCTCTACCTTTAGTAATGCACATGGTCGAGGTGTCATAACATTTGGAAGAAATTATCTCCCCTAAAATAAATATTAGATTCCATCGGACCCGCCATCAAATATGTTTTCTTACATATCAAGAGTGTCTTTACTGAGTGCTAAAATGTAGTATTGAGGTAGGATAATATTTCACCTTTTTATGACAAAATTGGCTCTGGAGGACTTTAAAGACAGATCAGCACATGGGCATGGCACGGAGCTCCCTGGGTCCACCCAGCTGTGGCTGACAAGTGTAGGGGGCATCTGTTGCTGTGGTTATGTTCATTTTAGAATCTGTGGCAAACACATCTTGCTTTTTAGAATCATTTGTAAATTGAGTGGAACACTTACCTGACTGGGTCTAGATCCTCATTCTTTGGCCCTTTCAGAATGTTCTTAAATATATTTAATTCCTTCCCACGGTCTACGGATTCAACCCACAATTCGAGGTGTAGTGCCAACTCTGGCCAGGCACTCTTAGCCTCACTTTCACACCACATCTCAGTCTATGCTCCAAGCACATTGCTCTCCCTTTGTCTGGGCTTAGAAAGCATTCTGTCCTTTTCAACTCATCCTCCTTGTCTTACCCACTGACATTCCTCTCAGCTTAATGCAAGTTCCCTTTCACTGAAGCTTTACAATTGCTCTTTTTTTTTTTACAGCATCTTATTTGACTGTTCATGGCAGAACTAAATTAATTCTGCTTCCTACTGAAACTCTAGTTGTTTGTATAGCCAACTTTTTAAATTTATAAACTCCTTAAGAACTAGATTCTTTTCATTATCATAGTCCACCTTCTCAATAAATGATCTGTTGTATTAAGTTTGGTAAATAGGACTTTTACAGTAGTATTTATTTTAATTTCTGTCCTTTGAAGTTCTAATAACATTAAGCTAAACAAACAAACAAACTCTACATCTCTGCCTTATTCTCCCCAATCCTCATAACAGCCTAAATGGAGTTCAGATACTTCCCTTTTTTGTTCATGTATTATGTTGTACTTTCACATTTATATGCCTGTGTTCCCCAGGAGACGGAGTCCACATAGAAACAGACATGCTTTCTTATACTTCTCTGTTTCCCTGTCTCTTATCTCTCTCTCTCTCTCTCCCTCTCTCTCTGTATTTCTCCCTCCCCCCTCCTCTCCCTCTCTTTCTCCCTCTCTCTCTCCCTGTCCCTCCCCCCCCTTTCCCTGTCCCTCTCTCCTCCTCTCTCTCTCTCTCTCCCTCTTTCTCTCCCTCTTCTTCTCTCCCTCTGCTTCTCTCTCTCTCTCTCCCTCTCCCTGGCCCTCTCCCTCCCTCTCTCTCTCTCTCTCTCTCTCACACACACACACACACACATCCTCAGAGAGGGTTGCACGGCCTTGGATGCCAGAATCTCCGTGTTGTTCATTAACAGTTTTGT